GCACGAAAGATCTCTTTTCAATACGTTGAAATCTTATATCTTTAACTCTTGACGATAAAGTTTTTTCAACATATGATAATTCACTTAAGAAAGTTTTGATTGTAATGAAATTTTCGATGATTATTTCATGTTGTCTTAGCTTTTATGAAAGAATTTTATTATCGATATTGACTGACTGTTAGTATGACTATTATGTTCGATAAAACAAAGGAAGATAACATTATGTCCTGAATGCTCTGTTTTCTTTTCTATGTGTGTGTTTGTCGATCAGTTTATGATTGAAAACATTTCATCCATAGTGATCATCGTCATATCTCAACGAATATTGAACAAAAAAAACATTTCCAATTTTTATTTTTCATAAATGCCCCAAAACGGTTCATGTACTGATATAACATGTGATAATGAAATCAAAGAATTATATGAATGTCATTGTTGTTTATATCATTTGATTGAACATGTTGAAATAGCAAAAACAATGTAAACAACGATCAGATAGTCTTCTTAATGAATTAAATACAATGGTAAATATACTTAGAGAAATTCTTGAAGAAAAACAATTAACTATTGAACGTGAACAAAATTTACTTGAACAAGCAAACAATTTCTTGATGAATCCAATATTTCAATCGATAAACTAGACAACATTTTTGAAAAAATTTATCAAGTCATAACATCAAATTGTTCAAGTAAACACTAAATTAAAAATTGCTTTTTTTTTGCTCATTACTTTTTCTGTTATGGTAGAAATCACGGTCAAAGTCGAACCATCATTATCAGAAACTCAATATTGTTCATGTGTTTGCAAATGTGAGAAAGAAAACATGAATTCAAATGGTAATATAAAATTTCTTTCTAAAATACTTTTTCTTTTCATTGTATTTCTTGTGAACTTATCAATCAGCATTTGAACTCGTATTGATATCAAAAAAAATTTCTTAATAAAAGTAATTGTAGTTAATGAGTCAAGTTATGACTGCTCTACTGAATTTTTAATCAAGACGTGCTCATAAACATTAACCTTACAAGTCCTGCCGAATAGCCTGAAAGTTTCAGCTAGAAAAATGTCTATTTATCGAAGTGTTGCATTGACAATTAAATGTATTTATTGCAAATCTAATATCTCTATAAATTGATGTAATTCGGCTTATTTATTTTTGAATAAATTCTGAAAGATAAGTTGAAACTTCAATAAATCAGCTCATGAGCACTACGTTTTACTCTAAGCTAGTTTTTATTACTGATCTAATGAGTTCAAATGGTGGAGAGCAGTCCGTGCAGTTCGCGTGTAAGATTAAAAAGTAATCTGAAAAATATGAGTTTTTGATTTTTTTTTAGGTGTAGCCGAAGAGTTGAGTATTTCAAAAGGTAAGTCTAATTTTGTTTAGACTCAAAAATAAGAACAAACATGATTGATTTAAGGTGGCGTATTATATTTAGAGGATATCTGTCATAATTTTATTGACCTTGTTTCAGATGAGTACGTTTCTTTTTTTTTTTTTTGGATTAGAAATATATTTCAAAACCGATTCCATTTTTTTGTAGATTTTAGTGAAACAACGAAACCTATTCAGGTAAAAATAATATTAGTCACAAGAGACTCGATAAAGTCACTGTGTGAATCGAAATATATCAAATATTCCTATATCTTATTTAAATATAAATTAAGGACTTTTTATCTGGCGATTGGTAAAATTTCGCTCTAAGTCTAATGACCGGAAATGATTAAAGTAAAAACAAAACTAGTAGTGGTAAATAAAATACAAAAAATGATACATTCTATTGCAGGTTATTTGGAAAAGGAAATTTCTGATTGAATAAAGTGTTTTCGACAATACTTTTCTGTTTCTTCGAATGTATGAGCTATTCTTATTTCAAATTTGAATTGAAATATTTTCAAAAATAAACTTCGCTTCATAGCAAAGTCCTATTGTCAGTTAAATACTATTCATAGAATATGTATTATAAACTCAGTTTGTTTCTTCTGTATTTCATCTAAATTAAGTTTTTTTTTCTATGTAATGAATCTTACATGGTGCTTAAATGTTCATTATTATTATTTTTGTTCAGGATGAACATGTAAATGAAGAAAAAGTAAAATATAAACGAAGATCATACAGAAAAAACTGTTGGTAAATGTCCATTAACATTAGATGGAGCATATGGTCTTACTAAAGCAAACCATTCTATTGAATTTTGTAAGCATAATACAGCTCGTTGAATGACATTATATCTTCCTTTCTTATTTCATAGAAATGAAAATGTCATTGATTGGTTTTCTAACGTTCTATGTCCTTTCTTTTCTGAAAAAATGAATTCATCAAATTATAGTCGACAAAATGTAACAATTATGTCATGTCAACTTCGATTAGTTACACTTAATATGTTCAAACGACATTTACAACTTACTCATAACATTTCTGATTCATTGGCACAAAAATTGTATGATGATTTCGAAAAAAAGTGGAACAAGGGTGGATGTGGGTGTTTGATTCAAAAATACGATAATTTGAAATTTTTCAATTGGATATTCAACTGAATAAGTGTTCTTATTGTACTTGTTCTTCACCATAAAAAGTTAATTTACAAAGATTAACCCTTTCGCGTCGGATGTCCCATGTATGGGACACTGACATTTTGCTTTTGATACAAGTACCAAATTGCACTCGAAGTTCAAATTCATATTAGTACATAACAAGTTCTGTCTATTATAACGAGAGATACACTGTAGGTAATAAAAGTTTTGCAGGAAATGGCCAGTTTTAATGAAAAAATATCAACGATCATTCCGAGTTTGTCTAAAAAATCTCGGAGAAGTAAGCTTTTCAGTCCTGTAGGGCTTATACATGTACTTGTAAATTCTCTCTTCTTTCTTTCCTTCTGCCAGTGTTATACTATCGCCCTATCACACCTTCACGATTCGCAACCTGAAGCAGGAAACAAAAACGAGCTACAAATGTAGGAAATACGAGATTGGCTTATGCATACTATCCTATTTTGAGATCTATCATATGTTCAGATACTTCTAATAAAAATTATATTAATAAAGGGTGGAGCTCATTGGGTGCTGGGTCTTTCATCAATGGAAAAGACCACCTTGAATTTTAGACGCCTGAGCTTTTTACAGACTGCAATAATGACTACTTTTTCATTAATGGGAATAATTTCCAGGGTTGATCTGAAAGTAGCAGCAAAATTAACTTACAGATGTGAAGCATGCAAATATATGGCGTATAATACACATTCATTTCACTGTTCTAATCCTACTTTTCCTATTTCTATATCAAATCTTCAAGTTGTTACTATTTCAAAGAAACTAAGGCGACTATACAATACATTTGAAGTTACAATTCAGAGTTTTTAATTTTCAAATTAGATTTTTTCATTTTTAGCTTGAACAGATAAACTTTTTAAGCACCAACGGCACAATATGTTTATATAGTTTTTCCTAAGATGAGTATCCATTATTATTATGATTATTTAGCTTTCAAATCATATCTCTTTAAAAGTTTAGGTTTACGTGGTAACAGACGCAATATTAGTTGTAAGTATCGAAAATTGTTGAAATACTCTTCATTGATATATTTTCTTTGATAACTGCTAACAAGAACTTATGCATAGAATCGATTTCACGTTGAACAGTCACATATAATATCAGAAAAATAGAAAAAAACGATGTTACTTTTCTAGTTTAAATTAATTAAAACTGCCTTTTGAAATATGACCTCAGTTAACACTTCTCTCCTCTAAATCTAGTAAACACACATATACGCTGAACATAGACATTAGATTGAAATAAATTTTAAATCTGAATTGAACATCAAACAAATATTTATATGGTGAATTCGACCTCCGATTGACATACTGAGGTATGACGAGCCATGAACGATATCTTGGAAACATGATATTACGACAATAAATCCCAAAATATGGAAGTAGATATAGAAAATTTTTCGCTTGAGAAAAGTATCTCATATGTCGGTTATATGCAGAGGAGTGCGCATCATAGTTTACAATGTTTATCCAAATATACCATTTAAATTTAACCCTTTGAGGACCGAATTATTTTTAATCGAAAAAAACATTTTCAACCTTTTTATTTTATTTTAACTCAAGGTGGCTGCATAAAAATGTTATGATAATCAAAAGAACAATCTTTTTCATCTTTTAAACAAAATGGCAATTTGCAAGTAAAGCACTCGATGTTCGATCGAAAATCTGCTTCCTAGGTGCTACAATAAGCACACTTTCTTCTTTTTCCTTTCACAGGCAAATCCATTTCATTGTCAAAATTAATTGTAAAAACGGTATGAAATGAAGTAAAGAGTACAAGTTCGAAAGAGAAATGATGTACTTTGCAAATTCAAGAACAATGTAAATTCGTCAAGGAGAACGGGAGTATATATATCCAATAGAGAATACTCTCGAAAAAAAAAAAGATCAAAGGAGAAGAGAGAAATTATGACGTCACTGTGTCTTAGCAGCAGGAACAAAGGATATTTGAAAAGAATTTATATGAGAGAGGGAAAGAAAGAAAAGAAAAGTATGACATGACAAATGCAGTTGTTTATAACCTTAATGACCTTACATATTTAATAGTTTAATGTGAAATAAACACTTTTTTCTTTACTCAAAAAATAGATGGTCCAAAAATGGGCCACCGGTCCTCAAAGGGTTAAAGAACCAAGGAACTGTTTTTTTATTATCAACTTCATTTTTGAAAAACTATGATGTCAATATAAAAACGATCGGATATCAGTTTAATCTCTAAAATTGATACTTTTAAGCACAAAAAGTAGTTTGAACAAATTTTCACGTCTTATTACATCTCTTTGTTGCTCTCAATTTTCTCATTTTAGAATAGTTTTTCTTGATTAGAACGTGTATTTTACAGCTGTTTAGTTTTCAAGATTTGAAAGAGATGAATTATCTCTGTTTGATACTTTGGTTTTCTCCTTTTTCTCTTGTCACCTATTGATTTTATACAAAAACAAAACTTCCAAAGAGACGGTTCTGTATAATATGTAAAAGGTATATCAGACTAAATTGATTGATTCCCTGAAGTTTCAGTTTCGAAGAATAATCCATAGTTTCATTCTAGTTTTAAATGTCGCTACATGTGCATCATTTATCTTTTGAATATAAGATTTGACTACTCATGAAAGAAATGATCTACAAAATGTGCAGTTTTGTATCACTTTTCAAGATCTATGAGATGAGCGATTATTGAACAAATTGTACCTAGTTAACTTCTAATGAAATGTCAAGTTTTATTCAAGAGATACTAGGGCACATATAGCACCAATCTACCGGCACATAAGCTGGCAATACGTAGCACAATCGAAAGAACAGCATAAAATTTTTTCTTCTTGGTTCTTTGGCAACACCCGATCGATATATCTTATCAGAAGTACTCATTCGATAATTGCTTTGATTCAATCTCGATTCGTCTATTCTCCATTTATCATGTTACTTACTAGGTATCAATAGTAAGAATGGTGCATGCAAACAATCATTCTTCTTCAGCCTAAAAGTGAAATACTGTGAAGATTTTAAAAAATATTTTTTTAGAAAGTACGCACCAATTGATGAATTCTTGTATTATTTCTGCATTATGTCTTTTCTGGCAAACATCCAATACCTTGGCTGCAATGGACCTTACATTATTCGTGGAAATACTTTTCAGTTTGACGACAGCTATCAAATATAAGATGATTTCATTGACACTCACGCTTTCTGAGCTATCAGAAGCACACATTGCAAAGGTCTTTAAAATAATATACTAGAAATTGTCTGAAAGTATTAGAATTCCATAATGTGTACATACACGATTAAGTTGTAGTTCTACATCGCCTGGCAAAGTCAAAGATATTGCTGACATAAATTCGTCAAAGCTAATAGGTTTCTTATGATTCTTATTGAATATTTTCAATGCATAACTGCAGTATTGTTTTGGTTCCCCACTTAATATAAAATATGAATAAGTGTAGTGACAACGTCTTCAAGAGCTCAGACTTACTGCGGAAATAATTTTTGGAAATTAAATCGTATATTTTCTTACTGATTTTTGATAAATTTTTCAAAGTATTTATCAATATCTGTAGATTTCAACGTTGTAAATTTATTTTTCAATAGAATTGTTTGAATTTGTTTTGCAGATAATGTTGCTACAGAAAAAAACCAAGATGACTATGCATGATTTGGATTTATATTTTGTGTAAAGCGTCGGACAAAATTGAAAGTAGCGGATCTTGCAGAGCAATGTACTGCATAGTGTTTTTTAGAAACCCAGACATTTATCTGAAATTTTTTCCTAAAAACCTATTGTTTCTATTGAGACAAGCTATTTTAGTGGGAGATCTGAATCGGCATTGGGAACCACAGTTCTCTTGATTCGAACTTAGTAGATACTAAGTGTCAATATATATTCTGAAGAGTGAAAAAAATATAAACTGAACCATGCTATTCCAAGCTAAAAAGCAGCCATGTACACAAAAAACACAATTTGAGTCCTATGTGTGTTAGTCTGTACGGTAAGTGATACACAAATCAATTTGTTTCATCCGCTGTAAACTGAAAGGATAAAACAACTTAACATTTGTTTCAATTCTCGAAATTCTTTTTCGACTTTGTACTGTACACCAGAGATATTCATCGCGCCGCTGCCGCGGCAGGTTTTTTTTATAGATTAGTGCGGCGCGGCAGATCATTCATAACGGTGCCGCGGTAGTGGCGCGGCTCGACTTTTTTGCAGAAATTTACTCTATAATTCTAAAAAATTTCCAGCTTCACAGCTGAAATTAAACTAGTCTTTCACATAAAGTAGAAAAATTAAATTCTTTTTCTAAATGCTGCATTTTACAGTGATTTTAAAGTGCGGAGACTAATAAAAGCTTTAAGCTTATCTAAGTTAATTACGTTGGTACGAGAAATATACTGATTACAATATGAAAGTGTTTATTGTATTGTCTTACGTCTAATAGATATTTTTAATATCATTTCCAGTTCATGCTTTGATTGCTAAAATCTTTTTCCATTCTTTTTCTATATTAAAAATACCAATTATGATAAATAGTCGTAATTAATCTGTTTGTTTTAATGTTACTTTTTTATTTTTTTTACTGATCTAGACCTATCAAACTATCGCAAATTGAAAATGAACAACAAGAGTTTATTAACATCGTGCATATTAATACATTTTATAATTAATTTTCTTCTTTAAATTAGAATATAGAAAGGCACATGATATGATTCTTTGTAGGTTTGAAATCAATCATTTTCATGCCACACATATGATTATACATATCGTAAATATTTAGATTATTTGCTTAAATGCTAGTAAAATAGAGTACCAAGATCAATCAATAAGAGAGTGACGGAGAATATTACTAATAATCATTACGAATAGAATTTGAATTTATTCAAACCGTACTAATCACAATACAAAATACAAGTCTGTTAGAAATTAAGACAAATGGAAGATAGAAAAAAAAAAGAATCATATACACTGAAACCTCTATTAGTGAAAATTCCCTGTTCCAACGAATGTTTCGAGCCTCCCTTTAATTTTTTCTGTAAACAGATCTATATATAATGAATACCTCCCATCTCTGAATAGTGAACACCATTTTTGGTCCTCTCAACAATAAAATCTATATATAGTGAGCATGTAAAACAATGTATGCGCGTGTATGTGAAAGAAAAGACAAAAAAGAACACATGATGCATTATCGAGCAGTAACAGGTCAATTCATCGTCAGTCTACTCATCTAAAAAGAAATCATCGCATGTATGAAACAAAAGAAACAGTGAAAATGATTAGTCCGCGACGAATTGATCGTCCGCATGTCAAACAATAACGCACTTATCTATTTATAAGTAAGATGACGACGAGACAAACAATTACTCTCTCTGAAAAGATGTACTTAATTCGTCAAAGCGAAGAAAATTTTTTGTAGTGTACAGCTGCTGACAAATATAAAAATATTTTTATTTTATTTTATTTCATAAAAACTGAGTAAGTATATTTAATAGATAAAAGAAATACTTTTTTTAACTTTGCACTTACTGGAGTGAGGTCTAACACGAAAGATACGTAGTGAGCAATTAGTCATAGTAACCATGCACTGTATATTTATAACAGTTCACTCAATATAAAACTTTCATATGATGAACGCCTACTTTAGTTAACAATTAAGTATTGAAGAGTTCTGTTGGTGTTTAGTATGATTAGAGATAGAGAAGTTTCATTGTGTGTATACAATGAAAAGGAAAGAAAGCAAAGCTGATAATGTTTGAAACGCTTAATAAGTTCATCGTGTATTGCATCATCCACCAAGTATTTAGAATTCATTCAATGAAAAAACAAAGTTATTTGCTAAATAAAACCAAGAATTATTTCCGATTATAAAGTAATCTTTTTTTCTGAGCACAGTTCTTTTTGAGACAACGATTTTGCTTTTATTTTAATCTCATAATTCATAGATTATTTCTTGCATTAAACTTTCATTAAATTGTTTTAGATGGCATCTGATAATTCAACATCTTCTTTTCCAATTATTGTTTTTATTAATGATTCATCACCACCAGCTACGATAACATTCAATAATGAACAATTAAAGTCAACATTTAAATTTGCAATTTTGGATGATATTGATCGAAAAAAGGATCTGAAGTGAAAGAATCAGTTGATAAAATTAAAATGTTATTGAGCAAACGAATTGATCTATACACTGTTGCTGCTCATGGCGTTACAAAACACATTCAGCTGCATGGTGGTTAAAATTTAGTTTTGCAAAAGAAGTTGTATCCAGTGAGTCTTACTCAATCTCTAACTTCGTTTCTTGTCAGAATTGTTTTAGTACGTATCGATATGGTATATCATCAACTGAATCCATTACATGTCATCAATGCGATACAGCAACATCGTCATCTGCATCTACTTCAAATAATAATCAATCTACATTAGATGTCCATTTTAATAAAAACAAAAAAACAATTTCGTGTTTCTGAACAAAAAAATCTTACTAAATTATTTTCATTCTGAATTTCTAATAGTTTTCGTTCAATATCAATTATAGATGATCCTGCTCTTCGTGAAATTTGTACTTAACCTATTCCGAGTTTTTGACAGAGTTAGTCTCTCTTCAGAACAAATTCAAAACGTTCTTAGGACCCTAGTTCATGTAAAATAACAAAAATGTACAGCTGCATATTTAATCATGCACATGATTATGTTCTATCTCATTCAACAAGACTACGAATAATCGATAGAAATAAAAAGCAATATTGATTGTAAATAATTAACGTAAAATCTTAAAATCTTGACTTCAACAGTGCAATTGACATAAATGTAAATTGATTTTCTAAAGAAAACAAATAAAGCTCGATTCATTATAATGCCATAGATATCGTTTTAAGCATCTGATTCTTAAATTATGTTTCGCTTTCTATTTACGACTATTCATTTTTGAATATTTTAAGTTTCTTTTCTTTTTTACAGAATTTTTTAAAAAGTACTCGTAAAAGATTTTGATTTGTCAGCATCATTATATCTGAACAATTATATATTTGCATGTATATGTAACACAATATAGTTAAGATAGAAGAAATAAACATTAAAAATGTTGTTTATAAACGAAGAAAACAGTTTGTAGTGATTGAAGACAAGAAAAGAGACAATAAGAAATTTTTATCATTCTTGTTGAAAAATTTTTTCAAAATATGCTATTCAGAATAGAAAATACATTAGTGAAAATTTAATCAAATATTCACTTCACCAGCTGTTACTAATGATATATTTTTAGAATATTAATATCAAATAAAAGATTTCTAACATATTGATATGTTTGATATAGAATAAAATTTGAGTGATTTGTCTGATGTTTCAAAATATTATTTTCGGAAAGAAATCTATGAATTATTTAAAATATTCTTTAGTCTTATAATCAATGAATAAAATATAGCAGGATAATAAATTTGTAAAAAATATCTACTATGTTAGATGTCAAAAAAAAAATTAATATCAAAATGAAAGTTAAAAACTTCATAAATAACCACATTCTTTTATAAAACAACAAGAAAAACTTCTTAATCATTGTTTTATTTTATTTTCTTTCTATATGTTCATGAGACATAATATTATTCAAATATGACATAAATAGAGGCTGTACAAAGAAGAAAAAAAAATAACCAACTCTTATTGAATCCTATTATCATAAATTCTAATTAGAAAATGTGAAATGAAATGAAATGTACATACTAATCATTAGATCTTTAAAGTTTGAAAAATACACAAAAATATCTAGAATTATGTGCTTACTATTAACTAATCATAAATTTTATCGTTTATATTGTAGCCTGAATTAGAAACTAGGAATCAGAGACCGTCACAGGGCAGTTTTTTTATGTCCTGTCCTGCCCTGCGCCCTGTCCTGCGCCCTGCCCTGCCCTGCCCTAATGATGATTCATAATATTTTTTTCTGTCCTGCCCCGCCCTGAGGGCAGGGCAGGGCGGCCCTGAACTTGGAAATCCAGCTTAAATGAGGAAATATCAAATAGCTTTAAAAAACCTCGTAATGGTAAAGTTTTAATCATTTGTTTAATTCGATCCGATTGAAAGTTATTTGTATCGATGAAGTTGAAGATGGAGTGAAAGTAGGGATCTCAATATGTGTCTACCTTTCATTTAGTTTATGCGTAAATTAAGTGGTAAGTAATTTATATTTATTATAAATATAAATTATTTCGTTACAAAGTTTATATTACAAATCAATATGAATTCTAATAATTTACAACGATTTGTAAATATAAATTTTGCAACAAAATAACTTACATTTATAATAAATATAAATTTCTTACAATTCATATTTATTATAAGGTAAACGGTAAATGACGCCCCAAAGTAAAAGTGATTTATTATGATAATAATGATATTGTTTCCGAGTTCAGTGCTGAAAAATATTTATCAACATGTTGTTTAAAACATTTTTCACCACTCATCGTATTGTAAACTTGATTACTAGTACATTTGAAACCGCTATGAAATTCAGGAATTCTTTCTAACTGATGATTACTTAATTATACTGGGTAACCAAATACTCTTCACCATCTAACAGCAGGTGAAGATCCGTTCTTTATTATTTGATATTTCGATCTTTCAGTCAGTAATCGATATTTAATCGTTGCAGTATCGAATGAACTCATAATATATGACGGGAGATTAAAAAATCGAAGATAGAAAACTCAATGAAATAATTGAAACTAGAAAATTTAACTAAAAAATTTGAAGAAACTGGAACATTGGCATGTTTTTAAACTTTTATATGAAGTATGCTGTACAAAACTACGGTCATTTATGAAACTCTTTAGAAGAGGAATATATGAATATACTTAACAAAAAAACTGAATTTTTCTCTTATATAATTCTGCATCATTGTGAAATGCTTTTTCTTTCCTCTTCAAATCATCTGTATGTTTCTATGCGAAATATAAATGGATTATATGATGTCCAATATAATAATAAAAAATTGTTCCAACTAGGTACAATGCCAAAAGTTATGATAGTCAGTTTATAGCGATATCAATTACAATTGCTCATAATATCAACATATCAAAATTATTTACTAGAAAATCTGTTTCAAATAACTGTCTCGAGAAAAAAGAATAACAGGGCAAAAATATTTTGCCCTGCCCTGCCCTGGCACGCCCTGCAGGGCAGGGCGAAAAATAAAAAAACTTGCCCTGCCCTGCCTTTAGGGCAGGACACCAGGGCCGCCCTGCCCTGTGACGGTCTCTGCTAGGAATTATGATCTGATAATCGATTGTTTTAATTCAATCACAATCTATTCTAAAAGAAAAAAAAAGCAGCAAATAGAAATACCACGTATGTTATATGTAACATACAAATATGATCACAGATCGAACAACTGTGAAGGTCAGAATAAATTGCCAAAATACCAAAAAAATACATTTAAAGATGAAATCTAATTCGAACATAAATTAGTCTCTTTTTATAAATACTGACTCAAATGAGAGAAACAGAAGAAGAACTCAAGAGAAGTAAAACATTTCAGAATTATGTAACACGAACAAAAATTTAAAGAATATGACATGAATATGAATCAATTAAAATAATTCTAACAATAACTGATGATATTGCATTTGAATATTCACTTGATACAATGTATATTTAATGAGAGAAAAGACAACATCTAAGAAAGCAGATATTAAGTTGTCAAAAGTAAAGCAAATACGTTCTGCAAAGACTTGTTACACAGATGTTTAAAATAATCATGAATAATCTTATTACAAACTCAAAGAAATTCGATGTAACAAATTTTATATTATTCATAAAAGTAAAAAGAACACTATTCTTGGTAATCCATTGATTTTTAATAAAAAATTGTACTAAGAAAATTCTTTTAAACCACAAAACGACATTTATTCAACTCTTGATTTAGACAATAAAAAAGAAATTAGATTTTCTTCATTTATTTATTATGAATTGGGTACCATTCAATTTCGGCAGTTATAGCTTTTTAGAAGATTTGTGCAATTTTAATGCAATGGGGATTTTGTGTGTGTAGCTTATCTCAATCTAAAATGTGGCATGATGACGACACTGGCCTGCCAAAGAAACATTCCAATTTTTAGAACAAATGATACAAACGAAAATGCATATTCTAGAATTTTCGATATATTTTTCACAAAGAAAAAATAAAAATTCAACCTAAAGTTGATGTCTTTATTTTTTTACTACAATAGCGATGACATATAATAAATGAATTTGTTATTTTTCGAAAATAAAGATTCATATTCTGAAAGTTTTTTATCATAAAATAAATGTATTTATACCGAAAATAAGCTAGTTGAGACATTTTATGATTTACTGTTTTTTCTCCAATATTTAGCAAACGTCGATTAGAAAAGTGAAGATTGAATCAAAACTAATATCATATAAAATGGAACTGATCTATGAATATTTCAAAAATTTTTAAGATCTTTTTTTTTTTGCATCGAAAAATTTTCTTGTACTCCCTCTCAGGATGGTGGAGTCGCAAAAAGAAAACCCATGAAAAACGATTTTTTTTTGTCGTCTAAATATTGTCCATTTTGTGTTGTATTATCATTTTACAATTAGAGAGCTTATTTGCCATTGTGGAAACTAATTTTGGACAAAATTCATTTTTTTTGACTTATTCGTCCTGAGAGGGAGAGTACAAGAAAATTTTTCGATGAAAATACAAGATCTTAAAAATTTTTGAAATATTCATAGGTCAGTTTCATTTGTAATGTTGATGCAAAATATGATATTAGTTTTTCTACTCGAAGTCTGCTAAATATTGGAGAAAAAACAGTAACTTATAGTATGTGTCAACTAGCTTGTTTTCGATATAAATACATTTATTTTATGATAAAAATCTTTTTGAATATGAATTCTGTGATTGTAGAACTCTTCCAACATAATAATCCCTCGAAAAAGAAAAATTCTTTATTTCTTTAATTTGTCTTTATTTACCTTTATTTCATAAAGTAAAAGTAAAGTACCACCCCAAATAATGTACATTAGGAAAATTATTTTGAATATTTTTTAAAGAGTTCATATTTCACTTTATTTGATATTTTAACACATCCTAGAATAGAAATCATCGATGGTACGATGAAACTTTTTCCTTATGTTCATGTAGATTTGTTTTTTTTCTGTTATTACTTTGTATGAATAACCTTGATTAATAAGAAAAATTTGTCATGTAACTAAATAAAACATTTTGAACACTATCTTAAGAAACAAGTGAATAAACAAAAAACTATTCTATTCTTGAATATGAGCATCTGTTTATGTGGTACAATACGACCAAGTCATTGTGCTGATTGTCTTCTTGACCCTCCATGAGTTGAAATATGTGTTAATACATTAGCAGCAGATAAATCAAATGATGTATCAACAACTGGGGAAAAGTTTTTAAGTCGAACATAATATCAGAAAAAAAAACAATTATTTTATTATCACTTTGTTTAGGATAACATACTAAATATTGACATGTATGAAAACTTATTTAGATTCATCATATATAAAAGTAAACATCGAAGATAAATATTTTTTTTTAAATT